TCTTGAACAAGAGCAGTATATGTGAGAAGCCATTTCACCAAGCTGATAATGACTCAGTTAGAATCATTGTTTAAATGAGTGTTCATTGCTAATTGGTAAACTCAAGTGAATGTAACTGTTACGTAAGCACTAAATCGCCCCATTAGTGAGAAAATTGATTGGGCACATGAGATCTGATTATTTAACCTGTTGTCAAGCCTGGTGAAAATCATGAATGGGAAAACACAACAAATAAAGAATACTTATCAAGAGAAAGACACCTTCGTGTCGTGCCATCAGTATCTTGAAAGCAGTTCAGTGATCACTTTAACATTGTATAAAAGATGTGAAATTTGTAATAAAATATTGATTGTTTAAAAAATAACATTCAGAAAGTACAGGAAAGACTGTAGCAACTTTTATCATAAAGTGCCAGGACTTTCACCAGAGAATATTCACTTAATTACAGAACCATTACTATTTTGGAAGAATGCACATAAACAGAATTTCTGTTAAATATAATATTTTGCAGGACTGCAAACATATGGGTACTGTACATTAAATATTAACACAAAATGTTTTGACACATCCCTGCTGATGCTTCAGTTATCAAGCATTTATTTAAGGAGTATGTGCTCCTCAATTCTTTAAAGCATTTCCTACTGAATAAGATACAGTACTTCAAAATGTTAACACTTACAGTACTACTCCATCTTTAGCTGAATTCTGTGTAGCAAATGTATTGAAATTCAGTTCAAATCTATTAACGTGCTGCAATAATGTAAAAACAGTTCTTATTAAAATCCCAAATATTGAGCATTTAGACAGATTTCAAATGTCCTTCAGTAGTAACACTATGACAGTTTTGGGCTGTACCATCATAGACTTTTATACACTATGTTTGGATTTTTAGCCGATTATATTTACCTGGATTTACACTTCACTAAGCTCTGTGTTAAAGTTCTGCTTTCTCCAATATAACAATGAGATGCTTTCACTGTGCCCTGCTTGATAGACAATATAATTAACCTTTGCAATTCTGTTCCAACCTGCTGTTGCTTGACAGAAGCAGTGACCCCAGAACAATATGTTACCATCAGAATCTCAACTGCGCTGACACCATGAGATATAGCCCTATCAGCACTATCGCAAAATAAAACACTCAGATTAGATCCTTGAAGAAATATAGATTTAATTTGTTTCACACTTGAGTTCTCTGATACAACGAGAAACTTTTTAACATAAATCTAAAAAATTAATGTTCAGAGGAATGTGGAAATTTCCCAAAGTATAAACCCCTTCACTAAGATGAAATTCTTTCTCCTTCTCTCACAACATACATAAACTATGACAGATTTAAATTCAGGTATGGCATGTGAATACATATATTAGTACTCATGATAAATTAGGGGTGATGAAAATAAATGTAAAATGCCAATAGACCAAAAATAACCTGCAAGATTGGAGACGTATTTTTTAATGTTTTTATTAATTCTTCAAACTAATTTTATAAAAATAGAGATAATATGCAAATCAAGCAAATTTTATGTGGCATTTAAGATCTACCTTTGCACCATATTCTAAACAAGGTCTTACTAGTGCATTACATAATTTCTACATACAGTCACTGCCCTTGATGTATATTCTATGCTTTTAACTATATACTAACATTTTGTTTGCCTTTCTTATTGTTTCCCTTTATTGTCTGGAACATGTAAATGATGTGTGAACATAAACACCTAAGTCATTTTCATATAGTAGGCAGCATCTTCCAGTGTAGCTTTTCCAATTTTGTAAGCATAGTTTGTTTTTGCAACCTGAATGTAATACTCTGGCCTTGTTTACATTAAGTGTCATCTGCCAGCTGTTGACGGAAAGGCACTACATTAGACATTTCCTGTCTTGAGCGACTGTTGGAGTCATGTCACTGGCTTTTGTATATTATATATAAAACGGGTGGCACGGGGACTCATAGCTGAGCATTGCTGCCTCACAGTGCTGCGGTCCTGGGTTCTGGGCTATCTGTGTGGAGTTTGTATGTTCTCCCTGTGTTTGTGTGGGTTTCCTCTGTGTGCTCCAGTTTCCTCCCACAGGCCAAACATATACAGGTAGATTAATTGCCTTCTGGGAAAAGTGTCTTGTGTGAGTGTGCACCTGTTTCTGTCTGTCTGCCCTGTGATGGACTGGCATCCTGTCCTGGGTGTATCCTGCCTTGTGCCCATTGCTTGTCAGTATAGGTGTTGGCTCCCCCTACCACCCTGGATTGGAAAAAGTGGTTAACAAATGGTTGGATAGATTACGTATAATATGACCTGACTACATATAACATGAAAGATTCACAGACTCTTGATTCTTCTAGGGTTAGTTCCTGAGCCTGTATACTCTTTTTGATATACAACAAAGAGCTACACCTCCCCCTCTTTTATCTCTCCAGAACAGAGTGTGTCCACTAATGTTACATCCATCTCCAACATTTTCGGTTAGCCTTGTTCCTCTAAAACATGATTCCAATAACATCTTAATTGCCGGCTAATGTGGTAGATTCTACTTCATGTAATTTATTTCAAATAACCCTGGCATTTATGTATAAAGACTTAATTACCTGGTCATTTATTTTATTTTGCTTTATCCTTGGGTCTCCCTTTGTCTTTGCTCCCTCATAAGGTACACTGAGGCATCATTAGACCAAAACAGTCTGTTGCCTAACATAGCATAATTTACTATTATTTAACTTGAAATTGTACTGTTTTGAACTACATAAAGGGCACCAAAAACACATACTATTTCTTTTCACGTCAATATCATTAAAAGACTGCTACACATTGAGACTGACCAGTATATAAATATTGTAATTTAATATTGCTTAAATTTGATTTGCACCTTATAAAGGACCGATAATTATTTATCTACTAATTTCCATTGCTCCTAAAATTCTTAACCCCCCCTTAATTCTTAATTGTTATGAAAGGAGCTGTGGAAGAAAAACTTAATTTTGTTTGCTGTAAAACTAGTTGATAGATGCTCCTGTAGAATATGAAGTGCACAAAATATAAAATATAAAGAATTCCACATTTCCAAGCATGATATATTTCTCCCCTCACCGTTTAATTACCAGATGTAAATACGATAACCTTGCTTTCACGTCAAATGCACACAGAATGCCTGCACACTCATAATACTCATGTTAAACATACGGCAGCACTGTGGTCTAGGAGACTATAATGGATATGATGGCTGTTCAACAGTGTGTGCTAATTACCTCATTTGGATAAGGGTTAAAGAACTCCCAGTGGCAGAATAAGTTGCAGTTTCGCCCGAGGGAATCCGGAAAATGTAAACACTGTGCAGAGGGGTACCACACCATGAAGGCAGCACACCTTTCTGCTGTGCTTGCCCAGTCAGTCGGAACGGTGGCGTAACTGCCATCACGGTGCATTACCATTCTCTGAAAGAGAATGTGACCTCGCCAGCAAGCAGCTCCTGCCAACTCAAACACAGATTTGGTGGACTGACAGGAACCACCATCAACATCACGGTCTCGGTAAGACGGACCTGTGTGTGACCCATCGCTGTCCTCTTGCTACTTTGCATGACTACTCTTGCACGTCGCAGCTTGTTCTCAACAACAGTTTACTATCAAGACCAACATCATTCTCCTGTACTGTGTTTCTTTAATAAGCCATTTCCAGGCCCACTTTTCTTGTGTGGCCTGGTTTCTGTCCTCCTGCATGAACAGGCTATCACTTCATAGCTAGAAAAAAAAGAGAACTAAAAAGAGAATCTGACTGCTAATACTGATTTGGCTAGACACGTCCTGCAAGCCTTAATACTTAACAATTGCTTATAGGCAATATAAAAAAATGTCTCCTTGCAATGTAAATAAATGAAATTTATTTAATGATAGATCATGACACACTCTCTTGGTTCTCAACTCACACTTGCTTCCTCATTCAACATTTCTGTATTTTGTGTAGTTTTGTTTTTAATGAAACTGTTAATTTAGCAATTGTGTATATAGACTGGCTATTTACAGTCCTGTGTAAAACGTTACACGTTATACTGTGCCTGAGTAACAATTTTTATTTCTTCTCAATCAGAAACTCAGTTTTATTATAAAAAGAACAAGGAAGGTTTTAACACAGGCTTTTGTTCACTTTCTATCCCTCTACCACTCTCTCTACAATGACCTCTCATGAGCTCCCCATTTTTTCTTGGCAACTATAAAACTCCACACTTCAAACACAAACAATAGAGTCCCAAATTAGAGTCCTACACTTTCAATAGACAGGATTGGTTCCTTTGAATATTAACACAATGTGTTCCTAGGACAACACTCCTCCTAACGTCTAATGCACTCTTCAACTTTGGTTGGAATCACTACTATAACATTAGCTTAATCATTGAAGAAACCAAAAACACTGCTTTGAGAATGGTGTCCCAGTTTGAAAATGATCAATAATTACGTACTTACAAGACTTCCTTATTCCTTATTCTCCTTAGATTAACAGTGCATTCAACTTTTGTTGTGTGTGATGTTCTCTGTCCACATTGCTCAAGATTCCTCAAGATAGTAACTTCATTATAATATACAAAATAATACAAAACTTATGGAAATTTCTAAGAAAAGCTACCAATATATGAAACCTTCTCTCCTAAACCGAAGTTCCTGAAGTTTAATTATCCCAACAATTTCTTAATCTTACTCGCAAGCTGTAAAAAGTTTTAACAGAACAACTTGTAACACTTTCAACCTAACTATTTTCACAAATACAGTATTCTTACTGTACATCAGGGTTATTTCCAAGAACAAATCCATTGGAACATTTTATCAATTGAACTCTAGTTTTTTGAAGAACGGGTGACATTTTTGTATAAAATACTGTCCAGTACCTACTGTATTCTTCTATTTTAATGATGCTGCTAAAGCAAACTGCAGCTTATTATCAATAAAATACAACCGTTCTCCTGCCTTTAATTATGCAAAACTATGGTTCTGCCTAATGCGTGGAGAGCGGCCCCACCTGGTTCACGTCACACATGAGAGGCCGCAGGAACAAATTATGAGCCTTGAGCACCTGGTACTGCTGGTAGTTGTATAGGTTGCTGTAGTACGCAGGGTAGAGAGGTGGCTGGTAGAAGTTGCTGTAGTAGGATGCATCTACAATCATGTCAGAAGTGCCCTCTGCATACCCTCTGCTGGCCGCAGACGGACTGTCCTGCTGACTGGAACGGCTCCCTGCAAATCAAAAGAGATCACTTGGACAGCAGCTCAGCACTCAATACAAACACCAACTTGTGTGAACCGGGCCAGCTGTAATAATTGTTTCAAGAGAAGGTTCATTTGAAACAGTTTCACAATTGCCAGCATTCGTTTGAAGAAAGCCGGCCAGCTGAGCCACATTTTGTGGATACGAAACCCCATGTATGAAGGGTCAAACATTGTATACCGACGAAATCACTACATTACTGAACTTCTTTGTTTCAAGAAGGCTTCCTTAGGTGTTGAGGCACAGCAGCTCTGAGCTTCAACTAATTTCATTTTTAATGCAGACATAATGTTCAGCTTGCTATGTCTTTCACTAGTGTTTAAAGTAAAGGAACAGTACTAACTGATTATGAGTTTTTTGTCAACATAAGACGTATTACAGACAAACTGCACTAAAACAATAGGTGAGAATTTAGTGAAAAATCAAGACAAACATTTTAAAATATTCACAGAAGCAGATTTTTTTTGCATTACCTTAAACTACAAACTTTTGACTCTCATCATCTTCTTTGCCAGTAACCATTAAAAATGTTAGAAACTGTATTTGAAACGATTAAGACTCCTGCAGTGTTTGCATTACGTGAGTTAGTAAATCACACCGAGGAATCAACAAATGAGGCCCTTGTTACCATCTGCAGTGAAGCATTTTCTAATGTATCAATGTACACATCAACCGGAAAGTGGTATACTTTCTCTGTGTACTTCAGTTTATGAATTAATTAATGTTTTGAAATTGCTAGTGAATTAATTCATGTTTCTGGAGTAGAGATACAGTTCTGGGGATGAGAAACCCAAATGAAGATGAATCTGCAAGCCTCTGATTTCTCAGCAGATGTGTGCTGTTTTACCAGCTTCTGAACAAATGGTGAGGTGTGACAACAGACAGCTTTATGCTTCCCTTCCCACCTGTCAGAGGTCTTAGCCATATTGTGCAGGCAGCAGCTCGCCTCCCCCATGTCAAGTCATCAGATCACAACACCAGGCAACCAGGCAGCTACATCAGCCACCCAACTTTCGCCTCCTGTATTACAGGATCCAACAGCTTCCAAATGACTCTTTTTAACATTCCTTGGCACGATCAATTAGTGGAAGATCAAATTGATCAACCGCTGAAACTGAAAAGCTGCATCTACTAAAACAATGTGTGGCTACAAAATATATTGGCTTAAACTGAACAAAAACCCTGGGCCACTTTTCTCAAATTTGAAAGTGGTCCTTCAGTATAACATACTGTATATACACTGTATACCGTACATATGTGTGTGTGTGAATGTACAGTCAAACCCGGACTGTCTTCTCGTGTCATATTACTGGTATGAATATTTACTGTAGGTAACAACTCCCAAACTCTCCAGCAAATGAAAAATGTAAACAAAGGCAATAGTGTTCTTGTAAAGTAAACAGTCCTTTAATCTGGCTCAGAAGTTTAACACATTTCTTTAAATAAAAATAACACTGAACAAGCTAATTACTATTGTGTTTAGCAATAACAAGGAAGTTCACTTTTAAGAATTTAAAAAATTCAAAATAAATTAGTGTTTTTAGTTGGTGTCATTTTAAACTGGAGTGAATGTGTCTGACCAATAGTTCTGGTCAGACATTTGTGGTATTAAAACTGAATAAAAGGCTGACCTGCATGTTCTATCATCAACTATTGCTGCACAATGTAGAAATCCAGACTGTTGAAAGCCATCTACAACTACACAGGGATGTCCAGACCAAAACTGTATGCAGACTAAAACTTGTGGTGGTACTTGCAATATTTCTGTCTCTAACAAGTTTAATTTGTGTGAGTCAAAAGAGCATTTAATGTAATCTGACACATACTAGTTTTGTGTCTGTTTCTAGTGATACTCGATGGCATCAAATATTTTCAAAGAAACAATTTAGAAATAATTGCACTTCTACAAAGTTTGAAAGAAAAAGAATTGAGTAATCCACATTTATTACATCTCCAAGCCCCGTCAAAGTACATGAATAATACAAAGACTTTTAAACAATGGTACTAGATATAGTACCAACAATTTTAAAAGGCATAATATAGACATCTTGTTAACATTTCTATATCTCACCTTTTATAAATCACTATTTGTATTAACATCACATCAATGTTTCCAAAAAGCAATTTGCACAAATTTAAGCTGGTCTTTCTGTCACGAATTTGAATGCACTAGGATACCTTAAATATCAAATATACTTTTTGTGGATTAAACAATTCTTAGCTTTCATTTAGACTTTTATATTTTGAAGAGAGAGTATGCACTACTTCAGAAATTACTTGTAAACTATTAAAACATATTCCAATTGTTTCCCTGGGATATGACAAATATATGACAATGATATATTATTGTAACCTTCTGCACTATAGAGTAATGGAATTTGATACACACAGTATACAAATGGGACCATGGATAGAGGAAATCCTACAGAACACCATACCAGCTCAACGTGTCCACCATTATTTCCTGCTTATTTCATGATGGCTTGCGAGAAACACATGGTTATAGTAATTCTCCATGACGTTATCAATGATAGTTTTCAGAAAACATGTATGTATAAAGATAAATATGCTGAGTATCAAAAGGAACATATCACTTACAACTGCAACAAATCAAAAGGTATATGGAAAATGACAACAATTATTTTTTGCGTATGAGTGGTGATATTATATTTAACAGAGATGACATAGGTTAAATCATTATGCTGATTAATATTCGTTTTCAACTGAAATTACCATCAGGGGATTTACTTTGAAAGTCTCAGGATAATAATGTTATGCCCCGGCGTAAAAAATGAAGTGTAAGGCCACTGCTGGAAGCAATATAAGATAGACGAATATAATGAATGCTTTTCACTAGGTCACATTCTTTTGGGATTCTGAACCATTCTGCATGTGCTGCCATAGAACAGAATGATTCAATAGTCACACTTTTTTAAAGACGTTGCTTTCCTTGTGTCTTAATGAGCATGTACAACTGACGTTCGCCATCTGGTGGTGACAAGTATAAAATGCATATTACAAAACTTAATTCAAGTACTGAATCAAATTTGAAGATGAGAGCCATCAAAACTTTCTCATTCTTATACTGTATTGAAAATAAACATCTGAATATGTTAATACATTTAATACACTGATGCGTACTTAGCGATATTATCAAAATTAAGAAAAACTGCCTTTTTTATTGTGCATACAGAGGTAGGCAGTATAAATGTCTAAACAAAGAATTATGGAGAATTACTGACCACATGACACATTTTGAAAACAAGATTTTTGACTGTATCTCCCTATGGTATTAAATCAATGTAGATATATTCTGAAATACAAATGAGAATGCATTTTCCTATGCATTATGTCTTGTGTTATCTGTTGCGGTATATAATCAATGGAAATGGATGGCTCCACACTTAATGTTCATAAGAAGAAAGATTTATACCTCACATAGTTCCATGTTAGAGAAGAAGAGAACTGTATTACTTTCATACAATTGACATTGAGAATTGAATTAACAATAATTACATTTTTAACAGCAACTGAAAAAGATCTATCACTGGGCACATGCTTTAGGCCTTTATCAGCAAATATCCAGTCAACTCCTTTTGTACCTGTCACCAGTCCAGCATTTCTTACTGCTTCATCAGTGAATTTCCCTGTGATCTGGGAAAGAGCCTTGACCCAAGTGGTATTCCAACTCCTGAAAGCACTATCAGAGCAACTAGAACAGCATGTTTCTCCCACAAGCCATTACCAAAGGAAGTGATGGAAAGATGGCATTGCTTGGCACAAGACAATCACTCCTATGTTGATTCACAGACACTAAAATAATAGCATGCTGTATAGGCTTCATTTTCCACATACCTAATGAACCACAGCTTTTCATTACCTCTATATAAAGCAACCTAATAGTTTAAACTGTCCCATTTTACTAATCCCTTGTGCTACATATTGGTGACCTCGGGTCCTGTTTCATCTGCAGGAATTAGCCCAGGAGAAACCACAAATGCTTAATAACTCAAAGTCTCAAACTTTGTTTTTATGTCCTATGGGGGCATTAGGGAGTAATCAACATAACAATATGACGTAACATCCACCACCAACAAAAAGGTCAGGACAAACAATATATCAGCAATATATAATCCTATAGTCTACGTTTATTGGATCCAGCATGCCATCCACCATCCAGAAAAAAGAGTGTCACAATTTACCTTAATTTTCATCAACCTCCCATTTTTCATAAGACAGCTGTGCATGAACAAATGCGTGCAGTTTTATGTGGAGAACTAAATAAGACCTATATTGTATAAAAGCTGTGCTAGCAGTTAGAGGACTGTATATAAACAAAAATTAGGTTGTGGATATTGTAAGTGCATGAAACTTTAGAGTTGATTGAGCACAATGTTCTACAACATTATTACAGCAACAATTGCATAGATATTTTAGTCAGAAAGGCTGTACAGTATGTACTTAATGTGAAGCAATTTAATGCAGCTATCAACTGGGCTCTGTATTAGATTTACAGTCTGATAAAAGTAGCCAAACTACTAAAAAGAATTTAAACACAGGTGGTTAATATGGTATTTATTTAGTAAGACAAAGTTGAAAGGGCTTTTGATAACAATACATGAAAGACAGCAGAGAGAATGAGAGAAAAGGAAAAGCCAAAATAGCTCTTGCAGCTTTTGGTCTTCATAAACCACTGTTTCTTATATGTTAGCTTTTTGATAAACATGAATTAATCACATACAGTATATGATGTGTAATCTGTTAAAATGTTCTGAAACTGCTTAAAATAATAGTTGTGGAGTTGCTAAAAAAAACTACTTCAACAACAAAAAACTCACCAAATTATGTTTTTGAAAAAACAGTTACAGCACTGCAAATATTTTCTGTAAATTGGTCATTTTTTATTTTAAATGCCACCTTCTTCATCCAAGTACAAAGTGTACACACAAATGAATGCCAGACCTTAAATTACTCATTGTGATGCAGATTTGACAGCAGAATACAAGACTTGTGTCTGCATCTTAACTCACCAAATGAAATTAACAGAAAGAAAACATCTCACTCCCAGATTTGTGCTGTCACACTGCCTGATAGCTCCTCAAACCAGGGACCCGTAATGAACAGTTCTCTTGTTGTTAGCCTGTATCCTAACACTACTTATCAAAGAACCTTTCAGACTAAACTCCTACTTTAGGAACATTTCATTCAGATAAAAATGCAATTTAATTAAACCACTATTTTTATATAACAGATGAGGAATTACATTAAAAATGTGAAATTTAACACTTTAAGATCATTTAATGAGGAAGTGTTCTTAATTCCATTTCTTTTGTTGTGCGGCCTTTACAACAAATTAGGTTTGGATTATACTGTATTTAAAATTTGTCATTTCAGATCCAGTTTGACAAAGACTAGAAAATGCCTCTTTTATCTTAGCTTTCACTTTACTTTCTCATTGCCAAATCTTGTGATAACATGACAATGGCAGTTTCATACCTTAAATGCTCCTTCTACAGCCACATGTCTAGCATTTAATTTCACTCTTTGCAAACAGTCATTCTTTTGTTTCCCAATAAAGCAAGCCTGTTTTCAAATGTGCAGTAAACTGCATCTTCTTACAGAATCACTTTATAAAGGTACAGTACACAACTGATGGAGTTGTTTTTACTCGCCAGACTTTGCTCTTTTATTTTGGAAAAATCACGGATTATACTGGTGTAATGGCTCACTTACAGGAACTTAGATGTGACTTAATATTAATTCCTTACACGTATATAGCGCTTTTCTGGACACTCCACTCACAGCGCTTTACAGGTAATGGGGACTCCCCTCCACCACCAATATACAGCATCCACCTGGATGATGCAATGGCAACCAGAGAGTGCCAGTACGCTCACTATATATCAGCAAAAGAACAAAGCAATTAAGCCAATACATAGATACAAATTATTAGGAGGGCATGTTTGGTAAAAGCTAGGGGCTTCAAAACTTGGCCTGGATACCAGGGTTAACATCCCTACTCTTTTTGAAAAACACATTGGGATGTTATTGACCATGGAGAGTCAGGACCTCAATTACGTCTCATCCCAAGGACCAAGGCTCTTTTTACAGTATAGTGTCCCCATCACTATACTGGGACATTAAGACGCACAAGGCTGCAGGGTGAGCGCCCCATACTGCCCCCACTAACACCACTTCCAGCAGCAACCTTAGCTTTCCCAGGAGGAGACCCATCCAGGTACCGACCAGGCTCACACCTGCTGAACTTCAGTGGTTGCTGCTTATCCACCTTTGTTTATGCCTTATTTGTTAGGGAATAATAACCTTTGTTTCTTGGCATTTTTTCAGCAGGGCACTTGCTCTAAGATGGGAAGATGGGAGAGGATCAATGGCATGAACTTAAGACAGGTAGCTACATGCTACCTGAAGTGGGCATACTGTAGGCAGTCCAGACTCAAGAATGCTACCCAAGTCACTGTATTATTCGTTTTCCTTAACAGGGATTTTGTTTTGTATGATGTTATTTTCAATGCTGATTAGGTGAGGTGTCTCATAAAATGTTTAGTTCCAACACTACCAAAAACATGGAACAAAGAACTTCACTCAGGTAAATTAACACCAGACAATGTGCAACAGAACTTGTAGTGTAAGATATTATGGTAATGTCTCAAATGCTGAATTCCTGCATTTTGGGCTTCAAAGTAACTAGCTTTTGGTTTAGCGGGGCTAACACTTCGCTGGGCTATGGAGAATATGAGGTCAGAGACGTGCCTGAGACAGCAGCTCGCATACAGGATCTATCTGCTACAGATCCATAGTATTGGTACCTCAAAGAAATTGAGGTTGCTGTAGAATTTAGACTTAAAGCAATCAAGAGTGTGTGGGTTCTCAGTTCTCACAGTGTAAGGCAAGCTCTAGACTCCCAAAACAAGTATTTTGTACCTGTGGCAGGTGGGGTTGTTGCTCGGCTGGATGTGGATGAAGGAGGTGACTTTCCCCGGGCAGAAAAAAGGCAAGCTCTGTCTCCAGAGGCCTCATTCTTGATAACAACATCTGGGTTGGGGAAAGGAACCAGGCTGCAGATTCCCATCTCTTCTTCTTGTGCCTGCTGCCGGCGAAGAGCAACCTGAAACGGTTCAGTAAGATATGGTAAGTCAGGCTCCTACAGCAAGCCAGTCAGCAGCTCCAGTGTCCACGCTATGAAGTGGACAGGCACATTCCCTCTGGATGTGACATTACACAACCCTGATGTGGAGCTCAATCACACAAGGGAGTGGACTAAAGTGATCAGGGTCAAACCACCTTCCTCCAGGACACAAGCTATGGCACAAGTGGAGAAGACTTGACTCCTCCAGTCAGGGATCCTGAGTCTATGCCATTACCCTATGCTGCCCACTCCCCACTGATATATATACATCTTACACATCTTTCACAAAGAAGGAAAACTGGAGCTGTGCTGGGTTATCAATTTTAGCCACACCACATGAGTATATGTACTGCATACTGTATATACTTTATGACATAGTGGTATATATACCACTACATATACAAATATCATTAAAACTTCCAATTAAGTGCTTATTCATAAATTCACCCATATTTTCATGAACAGACTTTGTAAATAGACATGATTGAGTACATGCTATACTCTTTAGCAAGATCTGTTACACGTTCTGGAACATGTTTAAAATCCATTATTAAAAGACTGCTTTGTTTGAAACAACAAGCCATTCATGAAATTTATAACATCAAATTTTGTTTAGAGGTATTTTGACAGAACCCTATCCATATAGTGCACTAGGTTATGCAAAAATAACCTTCTGTATCAAAACAGGTAGAAAGAAGATAAGATATTATTAGTAATAAGCAATATGTTTTAAATTCTATGACTTGAAGATGGACAAGTGTTCCATTAAAAGGAAACATTTGACATATACAGTACACGCATGTCATTGTGGACGGCAGCATTACCATTTTCTAGCCTGCTCTTATCAGATCTTAAAAGCTAAGCATAGCTGGGCCTGGCCAGTACTGGGATCAGAGAGCTCTATAGAAAAACTGAGGCGCTGCTGTAAAAAGTGAGTAGGTAGGATGTTTCCCTGTGGAGTAGAATTTCTTAAACCATTGCAACAGTATAGTGACAGGGGTCACTGTACTGTATATGCTTTAGGACACCGTAATTCGGATAAGACATTAAACCTAGGTCCTGATTACTTAGGACAACTCCAGTGTCTGTGCTATATTCTACTATGGGCTTGTACATCCTGAAGTTCCCCTATAAATCAAATAGTGAAGCAATTTCCCACATCTCTATGTGATCAGCTGTGTAGTGGGGCTGCTTCTATGTTGCATAATGGATTCTGCACATCACCCTGGTGCAAGAAATAGGTCCTATCCTACATGTTGTACAGTGCTTTGCTTTTATTACATTTCTCTGCTAACTGGGAGTACTAGATATGATTTCCAGTAGTCAAAGTAATCTAAACACACAGGGTGTGAATAATCATTCACATTTGAAGACTTCAATTGAGTTGCAGACATAGGCATATAAAACATAATTGCCAAAAGTACTTTTTGCAAACAATATCTACTAAATCAACTAACAACAATGTAAGGATGGAAAGTGGCAAAACGTTGTGAACAATATTGTACACATAGGCTATAAATTTACATCTTGTTTATTTGAATTTACATTCTCCCCTTTTTATACAGATTGAGGAAATTTAAGGTTTAAACATTTATTATTGTTTTTAGATGCACAGTGCAAATACTTGCTGCTAACTGTACCACAAAAGGCCGTTTAAACGTGCAAGTAAACGTTCACTATTTAAAGAAATTTAAATATGATAATATCAATGTCTTCAGATTTTAGAACGTCCAGCTATGTTTGGTGGAAGAAAACAAGGCTATGGGTAAAGTTAATTGGTTATTAAATGTTTGCACGTATATGGCTGCCTACTCGTATACGCAACAGAACATGCCAAGTTAATGAAAACTGTAGTTTGTAACCTCGTTGAACAACAAACACCAACAGTGGAATTCGTTACTTCCCTCCGGAAAACATTTTAACTAGTTAAGATATTATTTGCATAATTTCACAAGTAGCAAATAACTGGTAGCTCGAGGTTTAAAAGCTTACGGTCTGAATTACGCCACACAGTTATTTTAATTTTCTGATCCAGAAAAAGTTCTGATCCATCTTTGAAAAATTAGGAATCTCAAGTTTGTAGACGGACCACGGACCACGTGGCGACATGCCATATAGTAGCCACTAACAAAATTCAATTTGGGATTCAATGCAGTTAATCTTTCATTAATAAAACTTGAGTGTGCATGTGTACATAGAACAAGATATCGTTTTCTTTTTGTAAGTGCCCATCCATAAACACATATCTCGCAAACACTTTTTGTACTTGGACAGGGCACGTGCATGCTGAACTCTTACGTTAAAGGCCGACATCTCTACATGGTATGGGTACAATAAAACCAAATTAAAAACAACAATACGTCGTGGAAACTTTTTGTATTGTGCAAATTAAAAGACCGCGATCAGGACAAAAAAAGTACGATTTCGTACCTGAGCCGCCATGACCCTCTGTCGTTCAGCAATAAGTTTACACTTCTCACACTGGCAGTCCCTCCAGTTGCAAAATCGTTTGTGGCCTTTCAAGGGTGACTCATAGCCGTGATTCCTACAGCGAGAGCATTTGGGTTTACGGGGCGATTTCTTGCCAGGGTGAGAAGGAGAGATAGGCCCGGCACACTCCAACAGCTGCTGGTTCGATTGCTCGTCGTCGCTCATAGCTGAGGCTACGCTGGACTGAAAGGCGCTGTCAAACGTTCCTGTCGCTGGGGTATTCATGGGAGCCAAGTTCATTCTTTTTATATCGAGGCAAAACAAATCGCAGTTTCGGTGACTTGCTTTGATGCTTTCAATACTGCAATGCTCTGTTGCAATATTAAAAATGAAACAAACTATCTTTCAGCTAGCCAGCGGCCAGAAGTAAGGCTCTATCTACAAAGACTTGGCTCGATCGACCTACACGTCCCAAACCGTGAAATCATGAGGACCGTTGAGAGGTAATCCCTCCTCCATCCAACAAGCCAGACAGCGTGTTAAGGAGGAGCCGGCGTGATTTCTTCCACATTCGTCATCTACTACCTGACTTTAAAGTAATCTTCTTTAAAAGCACTATTGAATCTAATAGTTTTGTTGAGTGCTTCTAGGTAGAGGAAATCACAAACTCTACAAAAAAAACCTATTTAATCTAAGTTTTGTTGAGTACTTCTAGGTAGGGGAAATCACCAACTCTACAAAAAAAAAACAACCTAACTGCTACTGTTTAAACTTTTTATTTTTAAAAGTTGAATCATTTAAACACTTGTTCTAACTGCTTATAAGCATTGCACTTTTTTAAGGTTATATAAATCATCATGATACATTTTCCACTACAGCTATAGTTTATTATAAATGTATAAGTATGTGTAAAATATATATTGATCGAAATACAAATACACAACTCACACATTTCGTCCTTGCTATCTTTTAGCATCTGTCGATAGAATGTCAATGGGATAAAAACCATGCAAGAATTTGAAGAGACTACCCACATAATAATAATAACATAATACATTACTTTGAGTAATTGGGTAAATTACATTTAGTTTGACATTCAACAAACTGCGGTACTGAGGAAAATACGAAAAGAAATGTAATCTTTTTTATGCTACTATCAAACAACCACCATATTTTAGTTCATCTGAAACTTTTGGGGTTTCATTATTGTTCATATATTTAACCTAGCCATTGCAGACGAGCATGCATTTGTAACATTTCACGTTTATCAACTAAATGCTAAGGCAGGCTACATAAAAGAGAAACATTATCACCTGATAATCACGATAAAATATTTATATTCTAATGCTTCATAAATGCGTACCAGAGTACCTTGAACAAGTACTCAAAGTCGGTAACTATTATAAGAAGTTCTGTTCTAGATTTAAAAAACTATTTTGGTGAGTTAGGAACTGTTTTGGCCACCTTTTCTGTGAAACAACAGATAATTTCAGAATAATACTAATAACATTAGTATGCCAGATATCCCCCAGAAGAACCTTTAATATTGATTTATTTTCCATAACTGTACAACATAATTAATGTATAATTAATGTATTAACGTATTTTAATTAATGTATGATAATTATTATTTAATTTACTCAGTATAATTAAATATTATTTCCCCTATGTGCTTTATTTCAAACTCTATCCAACAATTCTTAAATTAAAACAGAAAGAAATTCAACTTGGAAATAAATGTTGCCTACCGATTATTAATGTTTACATAAATAATGTGAAGATATGTGTAAATAAATGGTTGCTTTATATATATTAAAGTGTTTTTACTGGAATACACAAATTGTATTCCAATTTATTTTTATGGATGTTACTATTTTAAAAACTGCAAAGGGGAAAAAATGGAAATGAGGCACTTTTTTAAAACAAAGTTTTGATTGAATTGTTTTATAAATTTGTATTTGGATACATAGATATTAGAAGAATTACATAGGAAATTGTATTTTAAGGTTTTATAACATGTTTCATCTTCATCAGTATTCTTTTATATCTCTTCAATCTTCATGATAAACCATAATTATTCCTAGTTAGCAAAGCAGTATTTTAAAGTCTGTTAAAATCTTTTAAAGAATTCTCTCTGAAAATGGTTTGTTTTTTAATAATGTTTTTTTTATTATTATTACCACTGTTGTTTCATTCAATTTCAGTAGGACGTCCAGCTGTAACAGAACACTAGAATGTGGAGGCAGGAAGGCTATTGGAGAACATTTGCACCAACATTTTTAATGCTGTATCAATCATTTGCCTTGAGTTGCCCTAAATATGACTGGTGTGAATGTTTTTACTGATTCGTAAGTTGTTTTGATATCTAAATGTTTTGCACAATGTAAAATGTGACATAGTGATTTTGGTGAAAGTTTTAATCAATTTAAATGTAGACACAACTGTTATTCAGTAAATTTTTTACATTAATAAGATAAAAAGGAAAAAATAAACACAGGAAACATTTCTTTTACATTATTTGCCTAGAATGGCCTCCTCTTACTTTTGAGACCAAAATGTTTTGCCTGCGTAGCTGTCCCAGTATGGTTTGATTTTAGGCAATTCTTGTCAATGGAGTCTAAGGCTGGTGGATTAATGGATTCTGAGTAGCCTACTAATTTAATGTTATAGAGTGCCCAACAGCAGTATTCCCAAATCACAATGTCTGTAACAAGTTCACATTGATGAATTAGTAATTAGGAGTTGAGACATTGTGATTGGCAGATTGGTGTTTTTGTTGTTTTCACTTAATTACAGTATTGTTCTCACATAAAATGAGTGTTTTCTTTGTCCTTCAGCAATCTAACTTAATTAACTATATCTAATTTTTAAAAAGTATCCCACTGTTCTATAACATACAGTTTATATACATATGCATCTATACCATGTAGGAATTTCCAGGGGAAGTCTAACATACTATAAGCCTAGATTTAAAAATGTGAATAGATTAAAGGAATTTCCCATTTCAACCCAGTACCTAAATATGGGGTTGTTTTTAATAGAAGCAAGAACTTGTGCCAAACAAAAACTCATCAACAAATCCTGATTTTGCAGCTTATAGCTGGGAGATTAGTCACAGTGATTTATATCTCCAGGCCAAGAACAGTCTTTGAAATTTGAAATGTATAAACCAAAGCTTAAAAATGTTATTTTGCTATTCATTGGATCCTTTGGCCTTGTGTGTCTGTCATAATCTTTTGGATGGTACAACTCTTACCAGGAATGATTGTCTTTCAACTATTTTATAAATCTTATGATTGGGCATTCATGTAATGACAGACAATAGTCTGTGAAATGCCAGTGAAATAATGAAAATATACCAGAGCAACCTAGATCAGGTGGAATAGGGAATTGAGCTTATACGCTGTGGAAAAATAAGACTGCTCTTCCAGGTGACACAAGATGGCAGTGTTTCCACAGCTGTTGCGGAGATATAAATGCAACCATGGCCTTAAATTAGTATACAGTATGGGTTTCAATTAAGTAATACTTCACTAGCCCTAAGGGGCTACAATAAAAACAGCACAGAATTTTTAAACTAGGTGCCAAATGGTGTAATGTCTAATAAAAGGCAAAGAACAATAGCACAAGAGTCAGCACATATTATGATCTTTAAATAATTGCTCTGTGCAGAAGACCTTGGCACATGTTCAGGTATATATAATAGCATGATATACAACCAGAAAAATGTAGTATGGAGTTTGTCTAAGAGCAAGGGAAGACACAACACAAGATTGAAAGCTGCATATAATAATGCAGCAAGCTAAGCTTTGAAACATCTATCTTTTACATGTTTGCAGGTTAATATGTTTATAGCAAGTGGATGATAGTGAAAACAGTCTTCATCTTGTCAAAATTCTAATACTACTATAAATAGTAGACATATATCAAAAGGCGGCTTTACACTATTATACGTCGTTTTATTTAAGGTCTGGAACCCCCCAAAAAATGAAGCCTGGTTCTATATCTGTGGGACAAATACACTACAGAGCTAGACATAAACTTGCCAAGTTCCAATGCTGTACCACACTTCTCAGCACTGAAATGAAATCCCAGCTTAATAGAAGAAATGGACTTGCAAAAATGTTTATCAAAGCTGCTTTGCACCTTGAGGCTAAAAGAAGAATTACTCTATATCATTTATATTTTTTACCTTTTCAGTGTAATGTTCTGTTCATTCTAAATAACCAATTTCACTGCATTCTTCTGACGGTGTGTACAGTATAGGATGCCAGCGTTATCTGGAACTGCCAATACAGTGTTGCATACTTTGTACATGCAATTGTTAAACAGATTAGTGCACAGGTATGCTAGGCTGTAAGGGGCAAGTAGAGAAATGTTCTATGGTTTATCCCAAACAGGAAGTCTAGATTTTCTAACACTTAGGATCAGACAGCATTCTTCTCAGAAAACATAACATCTAATGTCTACCCATTTGTTTCATGTTTCTTGAGAGTAAGGGTGGAGCTGGCAGATATTTTTAACATGTCAACCATTGCCTGCAAATTCTGGAGGACTGCATTGACATGAGCCAGGTCTGCTGTTGCCATCAGTGATGCACCAGAACACAATATACAGTACAGTACAATAACATATCCATAATAAGATTTCTTCTCCTTAAAAGCATAATAGAGGGAAAGGCTGCTACTTTATGGTCTTTGAGAAAATTGGGATTAGTATAGATCATGATACTGCAACCTATAATATAATGAATGTAAATATGGCGGGTTCGGGTCTGTAAGAGCATAAGTTTTAAATTGGGATAATGAATGGAATTAATGGAATAAAGCTAGGTTTATCATAAGTTAGACTAAGTGTGTGTTTTGCTTGTAGGTACAGTAACCATGTACCAGTACAGAGGTTCCTGTTTATCCTGTTTAAGTCCAGGTTAGATTCCGAAATAATGCAACTTGCACTGAAATGACTTGGAAAGGGCAATTAATATCTGTAAGGAATAATGTTGTTTGAGATACATTCTCAAGACACAATTCAGACAAAGGTATATACGCTTACTGTACCTATAAACTCATAAAAAACAAATATAGTTTGTGTCACCAAATTCTTTCAAACGGTGGTCTAATTGAAACTGGCATCCAACTCATTCACTTCTACAGAGAAGATTTTTTTCCCCACACACCGTTCATACATTTAAAAACATGGTTCTCACCACTAATTGAGTCAGTGTGTGTTTTGAAGAACTCAACTCGAAATGTTGGAGCATAAACTATATCACGTGCAACAGCACTGTCTACAAGACGGAAGAATTGTATGTTAAGATTTGGCTCTTCATTTTTTTTAAATTTCTACACTGGTGGCTTTTGGTGTCTTGAAAAATGATGCAAGTGTGAGGAATGTTTACGTGAAGCTCCTCTATTGATCAGCCACGTCAGTGTGAAACAACGTATAGTGGGGTGACCTATAGCAGGGACTGTGTGTAAATACTGGTGACCAATTCCCACTACTCAGGACAGGGTGGTTCATGTCTAAAGAACATCATATTGTGTCAAGAGTGTAAATACAGAAAAAAAAAGTACAAACTCAATAAATATAAATGTAAATGTAAACTGAGCACAAGCCAATTGAGCATCAAACTTAAATCCCTCACTGCTTGTAGCTGTCACTCCCATTATTTTTAGAAAACGAATACAGAAATCAAGATTACATGGTATCATTAATTAAAACATTATTCAGAAATCGGAGGACATGACGCAGGAATTTAAAATGCATTTATTTGCACATTTGTAATACAACTTAATAAAGAACATAAGCTGTACAATAACAACACTGAAGGCTTTGATAAATACAAGTGTTTACAGTCTCCATTTGAGATCAAATGTACTGTACTATAAGAAATAATCTTGCATTATTTTCTGCAAACACTTTAAAGGAATCACTCTCCGTAAAATAGCGATACAAGGGTCCACTATACAGAAAGGAGAAGAACAGAAGAGAATTTCCAACAATGAGGCGACAAATAAAATATATTCATTGGGAATTAAAATATCTGTTATTTGAAAGGTAAAATACATACGTAGATTAATATCAGCAAATAGAAGTAGTGAATTATAATTCTGTGGCACAAATCCAATAAGTATTTTTAAGTACAATATAGAAAGGTGATGAGAATATAGTACTTTAAGCCACGAGCCATTAAGTCTCTTCTGCATTTGAATGATATGGAGTAAAGCTCCCACATTATCTGCAAGCAGTTTATTTTGTTATATGGCAAAAGTTTAAGGCACTTCAAATGTTTAAATACCAGATAAGAGTACCTTAAATTTGATAAGAACGGATACTGGTATAATTGTACATAACCCAAGGGATTGTAACTGCTCTATAAAACATATGTACAATGACATACAATAATTGCATGAATTAAAAACTATAAATTGCTAGCAAATATTTAACTTCATGTAATGCTTATAGGGTATATGAACATCAAAATACTGTGATTTTTAAATAAGATACAAATGAGCTTAATATAAAGTTATACTTCATGTTCATTCTATGATATATTAACATACATATAAAGAGATGTGGTTAAATGCCAATGCTTCTAATCCATTTCTTAATCTGTTTTTTTCTTGATGTTACTGCAAAGGGACTTTAAAGATCTCTGTGTTTGTAAATGAAGACAACAGTCATTTAAGACTGAATGCAGACAGACTGTGAAAATCAACATTTCAAACATAAAACATGACATTTCAGAACATGACATGCTCAAAAATCGAAGATCCTGCTCTGGCACACAACCTTGAATCAGAAAGTCAAGACAAATCTAGAAAGTGTTAACTGCAGATTAGATGAACAGGCACATACTAAACCACATGTTACAGTAGTGTCAAAGTTTAAGGTGACGTTTTTGAATATTCAGAAGTACCAGGTATAAGACACTGATTTCTGTTGAATAACATCTTCCGGTTTATTTGCTCTTTATTGTATTATTTATGCATACATAGATAAACATTTTTTCTTCTGTATTATTGCTGATATTTGCTGGTGAGCTCAGGCACAAGGTTTTTACATTCAGTATCTGTCCAGGTTAACAAACACCAATAGCAGCTTAGGGAGTAGGGAGAAAGATGGAGCTGTGTGAAACATTAATCAAACATGCTTCTTCGGGTTGGGCTGGGAGACGTCTTCCTTCCAAGTCGGGGCGTCCCCTGTGGAGAAATAACATATCCATTGTTTTCTAGGCGACTTTTTAATTTTAAATGCTTTATTGAAACAGATAAAGCAATCTGTTGATCTGTTAATAGAGAAATCACATGTACAGTGATGACCTGGAGAGTACCCATTTATATAGCTTATACAGCAAAGAAATCAGAATGAATTAACTTGCTGACCAACAGTATCTGCCATTTCTACAATGCTAGCAGTGACCACAAGACTCTGCCTTATTCTTAGGATTACAGCCCCTCTCTGGGTGTTACTGCTTAAGAGCTGATCTGCTACTGCAAGTGCTATTATGTACTGGAGTAATTGATGTTGGCAGGGAAAATGTATAACAAACATTAAGGGCCCAAAAAGGGGCAGCTACAACAGGCAGAAATGGGGAATGAGATTCAAGGGAAAAAAATGCTTATTAAACTTATAATAAAAGTAGCCATTTACTGTACGTACTAATAGTACTGAACTATTTTACTCAGTTATTTCTAACACAAACTGATTGACACTAAGAAAACTGGTACATGTGGCTGAACATTGAGCTATAGGAGAGCTATATTTATTTTCTTGCAATAATAAATTGCAATATTATTCCAATATCCACATCAATTCCGTTTTTCATTGAGTGGAAAATGCAAGGATCTTCACATCTCTTTATAATAAATCAGAATAATCCCTCAAGCACAGTTTCTCCCAACAACACTGATCTAAGACTGCTATTTGACTCTAGCTGATTATTGACATTATTGTGATGTTATAGATTACAGATATGTGCATACAACATGAACACCTCAAGCTTTTTAATGTAAAACAAATATATAAAAATATATTAATAAATGCACATGGTTAAGTGTGTGAAAGGCAAATTACAACATGTCAAGATCTTACAAGCAACATCTACATACTGGTGACTGGGCTTTGGAAAAATTCACATGGGCATAAAGGAGAACCGCGATGTCCTTGTGTCCAGCCTCCAGGGCAATTGACAATGCAGTGCTCTCATCCTGAATGGGGAAAGAAACAAACATCAGCACTTATTTCCCAAGCTGAAAAAAATATAATCCTTCTCCAATTACTCACCATGCAGAACATTTACAGCCTTACAAAAATATTTCTTATCCAGTATTCTTAAAATTTAATGTGAACCAGCAAACACCACCAAATGTAAACAATTAAAAAAATTCAAACATAAAAAGCACCAGGTTTAGTTACGGGGAAATTAGGAAATCATAGTTTCACTTGACTCTGCACCATACACCAGAAATTCTAGTCCCTGCAAGTGCACGTTTTTGATTCACAACCAGACCTTAATTATCTGCCTCTAACTAGGACAGAACAGATATACGACGAAGATGAAAAAGAGTAAACCTGAAATCAAAACACAAGGCTTGGGCCAAAGATGACACTGAGATTCCTGACCTTAATACTTAGGTTAATTCCAATATTTTTAACAGTCAGACTAACATGGACACAGTTGTGAAATGTATAAGGAAAGCCAATCAGTATAAGTCAAAAGTCAAAACTGTTGCATCTATTTTTTTAGTATCAAATAAACAACATAAGACATTTCATGCAAACCTAAACAAGGGTGTCATCAGCGTAGAAGTTAAACCTGACAAATGTAATTTGAAAATTAAAATTAAAAGCACTGAACCAGAAATAGAACCCTGAAGAACGTCAGCTGTTATCATTTTTGGCAGGATGAATGCTAAGTTTGAACATTTTCCATCAGTTAGATAAGATTTAAACAAGAAAAAGCAGTTCCAGTAATATAAAGTAAGCCAGATAGTATGATCAGCATTATCATACATTATCATATACATAGGCAGCAGTGAGATCCCACAGGACAAGAACTGATAAAACAAACCAGTAGTCATCAACAAACCATTAGTGGCCTTAACAAGAGTTGTTTTAATAGCATGCATTCAACTCAGACAGAAATGGGTTTGCAGAGTGAATCTGCACATAAATGATCTCATGACTAAAAGGCATTTCAGCATTCTAAAAACTTTGCCAGAAATAGACAGATATTAACCAATAGTTACCAAGAAGGCTATAATGTAAGTTCTGTGTTTTAAACACAGAGATAATAACCACGTTTTTGCACCCTGTAAAAAATTAGATATTAATAATTTAATTATGACAATGGCAGTGTGACAGAGAACTGCAAAATTTATAAAGACTAAGGATTGTTTGTTCATTTACTTGGCTTCAAATAACAGATAGGCCAGTATTCCTCCATCTCCATTCAAGTTTAAACCCGAGAAAGTTGTAACCCCAAACACATTTTAATCAGGCCTCTATAGTTTATTAGGAGCTCAACAATCCAAAACGCCGCCACAGGTGGAACCGTGCATCACGGTGAACTCTTTAACACAGGTTGGCTAAGAGCTTCTGCAAGGAGATCCTGTGGTGACTTACCCCATCGGTTAATGTGGCATCGCAGCCCGGCTGGGCCAGCAGCAGTTTCACAATCTCCACGTGGCCATGTTCACTGGCGCACATCAGGGCAGTGGAGCCCTCGTCGTCCTGGATGTTGACATCAGCCCTGCACGCCAGCAGAGCTTTCACCATGTCCATCCGCCCGTGACTCACTGCTAACATTAATCCAGTCTGCCCAGCCTGCCATTCAGAAGAGCAGTTTTTTTAATAAAAAATTGGGATTTGTGTTTTTTTTTTACTTAACACTAAATAGAAATACGGTATAGCTGTCCAAAAGGTCTTTATAACGAAAAAGAGTAACCATGCTTTTTTGTTGCCGGAGAGCTGAGTTTCAGGAAATTGATAAGGGAATGATGTGAAAATAAATTTACACTTGTGTCAGTACATTGAAATGTCAGCTCCAATAATGTTTTTCACCAACGTCTTCAGGGGAATAAATACATTTAATCTATACCCGAAGAAGGCCGAAACGTTGTGTTTTCTTTCTTCTCTTTTCAGCATGGAATAAACCTATTACTTGTTCCTTTGCAGCCTATGCATGCTGATGCAGCTACCCACCTGAACTACATTTAATCTATACTTGTTTGGCAACAGTATCTGTTGAACACGCAATCCAGTGCATTGTTAAAATTTCTTTGAGACAAAGGGCATGCACAATATACTTCTAATAATTTCTGGAACACTATACACTTCACATCAGGGTCAAATAAGTATGGTAAACGAAAAACTTTTTCCTAAACTTGAAACGGCTGGTAATGAAAGGTGTCAGTATTTGTGTGAGTGCATGATTCAACAAGGCTGGAAACAGAAATAAAAAGTAAACCCTCTGTGCTCTGAACTTCACCCAACAGCCTTAACTGAGACAGACCTGAGTGACAAAGTTGTCTGTCTCTGCAAATTAATAGATAATGGCTTTACTACTGCTCTTGACAATTTGGAAAAAAAACAAAACAATTATGTAATTACAGATACCCTGCTAAGCATTAATAATGAAACAAACGTGCACTTTGACAATGCTGTAGTCAGAAGATAATTAGGGATGGAAAAACAATTATGTAAATGCTGTGCATATCCTCATTTTTAAAAAGAGGTGATCATAATGGAAACACCAAGACTATATATTTACTCATGGGAAAAGGACCACATGCTATTTGACTAATTTAGTAAATCCATCAATGCTGTTGAACGTAACATCATTAGATACTGGACACCACTGAAAGAATTTTGGTATGCAAATGTCAGTCAAGTTCCAAGTGTCACCAAAGTTTTGTGGTGACTTTCAAGAAATGCCTGGATGAAATTCTAATGTCCATTAGCTACTAAAAACCACAAGGGCTAGACAGACTGAAGCCTGCTCTTGTTCGTAAAACATGTATGATCACCACATATATATGTATGCTTAAGAACTGTACCAAATTAGTTTTCCCCTTCTTTTATTTAAATGTTTTCATCTTTTCCAGATGGAAAACAAATAACACCATATGCTGAGATTAAACAGTGTGTGGTGAACATATGTCTTCATGTTCAGACCAAAAATATTCCCATGACTACTGTATTAATTACATACAGACCTGGCTGGCCTTAGCATTCACATCCCCTTTACCGAAGAGCTCTTCCACTATTTGCATGTCTTTCTCTGCTTCCACAGCTGCAAGGGCAGCTAGCATGATAGGAGTATAGCCTGCCTTGTTCTGCTGATTTACATTACAGACATCTGCAACAAAACAAAATAAAATCAGTTCATTGTGAAAGCCACACTTGTCAAGGAGAAAGGAAAGAAAGGAAAGGAGTGTTATTGTGACACAAAGGATTGAGTAAGGAATGTTGAAGAAAAACTTACATCAAAACACTACTTCAATTGCTTTTCCCCACAAATGAATTGCGAGGGACATGTGTGACAATATTCATTACGAGATGAACTCCATCACAATGGACTGGTGTTTTAGTGCTGTGAGTATCAGACAATACCAGGACGACAAAGCCTTCAGACAATGAGCTGTTCTTTCAGGGGTTTCTGCACTTTGTCAAATCCCATGTTGCACGTACTTGACATAACTTTAGAGTGAGTTTGTCAAAATGACAAGAACTGAATTGTAATGAAAAGTTATGTGGAGACTTAAAAAAAACTAATTTATGATAATATGCAAACTTGTTTTGTTAATTTTTTTCCAGATGTTTTACAAGTAAAAAACCTAATTTAAAAAGACCCAAGACTTTGCAGACTGGGAAGCTAAGCTTAAATATTCTTAAAGCTGAGTTAGTAATGATTAAGACCAAACTCAAATGTGAATTCATTAGCACCATGGAAAACCCAAAGGCTGAGAGTAATATGCTCTTTTTTAAAAAGTTTAACTGCTGGAGATGGAGGACCTATAGCAAACCACAAACTCACTCACCGGCATAGTCACATCCAGTCACAAATAATAAAAAGTGTCACAAAGTCAATACATTGAGATCCACTATTATACAATCTCAGAGGTTTCAAACAAATTAGCAAAATGTACAGATTCTAAGCAAACGCTCACATTCTCAGAAATGACCAATGGTATCGTCAAGCCGTCAAGCCTACTAGTCACAACAACGTACATATCTTCATTCTGAGGTTGTTAAATGTTCAAGGCTATAAGTTATTTTGTAACTGCGGTAAAAAAAAAACAACAACTATCTAGACAATGTAGAATGTCATTTTCTTCAGATGCAAGCTTTAATGTAGTGGAAAGACTAAACATGCCTGCATCTAAAAGCCGCTTCACAATCTCGAAGTTGGAGTGAGACACGCTGTAATGAAGGGCTGTGTTGCCATTTCCATCTGCCATGTTGACGATGTGCCGCAGTACTGCAGGAGACACCTCCCTGAAAGCAGAGAGGTAGTCTTCCACCATAGCTGGGAGTGCCGACTTCTGACTGGAAATCCGGAACCACTCATGTTGAATGGTGTTCAGACAAGCTCTCTGTGAAGGAGGCCAGAAAAAAATCCTTATTTCAGTAACAGCAATTACAGTAATTCACAAGAAGTCACTTCAGGGCAGCTTTAAAAGTCAATGTTTCCTGTGCAAAATTGGCTCCACTTTTTTTTTATAACTAAATGAATCCAGCTGAAATTATAAAGCGACATTTGGTAAAAACTTTAAATTCTCTGAACATTTTCTCTTTGCAGATTTCCTGTTTGTATGTTTTTATTGTGAAGACTAACCACATTTCTTTTTTTGTAATGAATTAATTCCATCCTGCACATCAATAAAAAAAAAAAAATTCCAACATTTCTTATATTCAGTTTCACTGGCCAAAGGGGAGTGAAAAACTTACAGCCAACCAGAATATGAGCCACAAAAATTTAAACCTGTTTTTCATCCAAACCCTACATGATCTGTTGCTCTTGCCAACACACAGCTGGGCAAGTCTGGAATCTTTGGCCAGAAACCAGCACTTTAATTTGGCACCATTTGTCAATGAGAGTATTTTCCACTCCGTTAAGGACTGGGTTTATCATTGCTCTTTATTTGCATACTGAGAGATGCACTTGATTAATAAGGTTTATAAAGGGTCATTAAAAGGGAGCAAATAAGTGCTACTGAAACCTTTTCAAAATAAATTTATGAATGTACAACCTGACAGATAACTATCAAAGGAAACCAACTATTAACATCCACTACCCACCCATATTTCAAAGAAATATTTATTTTACAACAGTAACTACAGCTCAGTGATAAAATATGTTGTATGGTTTCCAATGTTAGACCAGCACCAAAACTGTACAGCTCATACGTGGTCTAAGAAAGAAACAGAAAATATGCAAATATTTAGTTAAATAAAGCTTTATGATCAGTTTTGACCCTTACCACTTCCTTGCTTGTAAGAGCCTTGGAGTCATTCAGGTGGTTTCTAAGCACAGTGCATGCCGACAGCATTTTCTCACTCAACTCATACCTGAGGCCAAGAGAAAAGAGATCATTCTTCTGCCATGTTGCTAGGTTGTTTTGCTAAAATGTACAGAATGTGCAAAAACCCTTTAGCAGGAATTTAATAACTAGTATGTCAAATAAAACAGTAAGCAGAAAAAGAACATGATACAGAACTGCCAATGTTTTTTTTTAGTTCTAAAGAGGTTCACTGGAGACTTATGAGACTGCTTTAAGTGTAAAAATGATGTCATTTATTTTTAAAAAATCCAAAAATCTGAAATAATAAAAAATATTACCAGTGTACACTGTTATGAAAAAACTTCACCACCATAGACACAGTAATAAATTACATTATCAGTGCACACAATTTTCTTTAAAGCCTCCTTTTGTTTTATTATTTTATATTATTTTAGCAAACTTGACAGTTATTTCTATGGTTGTGTTAGGGTGAAAAAGAATAATTGTCATTTAGCGATCTTTAATTTATAGTGATAAGAATCTGCAAGAAGCCTATCACAGCAACTCAAGGAAAAACTATACATGAATAGCCAATGCGAAGTTTCTTAGTAGGCACTCTGTCACAATTATCAATCAAATCCTTATAACTCTGACAGGTGTTTGTCATTAACATCAACATCTTTTGTTCATCCAAAAAGATAAAAAGCTACTTTTGTACAACAAAACATAAATCTCTCAGTATCAATTGTGAACCTACAACAAAAGAGCTAAATTGTCAATAGGTTATTCACAGAAAATTACTTAATATAAACACATATAAACTGAATGAAAAGATGAAAAAGAAAATTAGGAAAATTTAGGGATAGCAAACACAAGGCCTCTAGGCTCAGTTCAGCCTGCTTAACTCATCCATTTGGTGCATGTGGCATGTATGGTCAGAGCTTCTGTTGGAATTCAATTCATGCCATGTTGAATCTGTAAAGCCCATACACCAAGCAGAAAATCTTGGTGATGGTGATGTATCAGTTTTGCATACTTAGTACTCCTTGTGGTTCTCCAACACTATTCAATCACAGTGTCCCTGTTTGATAATGTCACAGATCTATGTGTCTAATGTCACGGGGGGGGGATGGAATTGGCAACTGTTCAGTTTCTCCAAACTCTTCCAAATGTTGGAGTTCAATTTCCCCAAACTCTTCTGCAACCGAAACCACCAGTCTCACTGAAACTGCATGTAGTCGATTTTTAATGGTTTTAAATGTATATTTATAGCAGGGTCTTGTAATGCTTATGGATAAAAATACTTTTTCAGTGCTTTTGTAACTCACGAAGCACTGGCAACACCTGCACCATGTTTTGCTTACTTGAGGCTAAATATAAGGATTGTGTTGCATATTTAATTCCTTCCACTGAACTTTCCAAATAAGCAAAATATGTTCAGTCTCGCAAAGAACAGAAATCGTATATGCTTTAAAATAACTAGTTATTACAGTATGTTTTTAGAAATTATCCATTTTGCCCTTTACTTTAGAGGGTTTCACACTTTTGAGAAAAAAAACAAAACTTACCTCTCCCGGATTTCTACCTTTTCTGCTTCTCTTTCTTCGCACTCTCTTTTGACTTCCATCGCTCCTTCATTACAGAACTCTCTAGGCTTCTTGCCGTGCCCTTCTCCACTCCTGGTTGCTTCCTCACTGGGATACTCATTCCCCTCACACTCATCCTCAGACTCCGAAGTGCTGCTCTCCTCCGAGCTTGACTCATCGCTTGATGTTGTCTCGTAACTGGACAGTAACCCAACATTACAGGGGAAAAGACCAGAGATATCTGTTACTCGTGAGAACTGTCCAATCTTCAAACAAGGGTGAGGATTTTTAAATATATTAATCTTAACAGGAATTAACATCATGATGATAAACTTCAAAATTTATCTCAAATGTCCTCAGTGTCAAGAACACACAAAGTCACCCAACATTCAATTACACTTCAGGGAGGAGAAAATACTAAAGCCACCATAGAAATCTAATACTGATGCAATTGTTGTACATAACAGAAAATAACACACCATGCCTATGTCACAATCTATCATTCTTCTGATAGTCTGTCTCAAAATGTGTACTGATTTAAAATTAGTGTTACATTAGAACAAAAAATAAAATAATCAAAAACTTTTCAGTTCATAGCTCTCTTCCTTAGAACAATACAACTTTTAAAAACTTTTAGAGTCAGACATTTGTAACAAATTCTTCTGCCAGTTCTTACATGAATTGCTTTCTGGTTGCAAATTGACACTTACCCTCCGTTGACACCCACAAATTGCAGGTTTTTCTTTGTGCTGTTAGATCCTTGCCTACCATCTTTCTTTTTCATAATGGACTTCAGAGTATTGGAACTACAAGACTGTCCTGTAAAGCATGACATTGAGACCAAGTTCAGTAATAAGCACTAAATACAAAAAAAATAAAGAAATAAATGTTAAATCGGCAGTCTGAATTTACCCATGCTGCCATGGCTGTTCAGTAAAATCTCTGAGCACCCAATTATCAATTTCCTAATATCTTTGTGAATGTCAGTTGTAAGTTATGTTTTTTTTAATGCTCAGTAAATATGGCGTTATGCAGTTAAAATATTCTAATGCAGGATCTTACTTATCTGCAGTCACAATTTAAGTCACAAGATTGTTACCTTCCTGCAAACAAACTGAAACCTCCTAGTTTCACGGGTTTAATCCAGATGTTAGGACCAGCATCAACTAAACTAATGCCCAAAATCTCTAGAATTAAAAACAAACTAAATAGCTAAGTTTTTACAAAACTGTGCTGATGAAGGTAACAGTGCATAACACTTATTTCAAGAGATATTGGCATGATTAGCAAAATAGCAATGATCGTGTAACTATCAATAGTTGTAACATACAGATAACATTGTATAGAATACAAAATAAAATACAAAGTGGGCACAAGCAATATATCAACTGATTTAGTTTTCCCATTGTGTTGATGCTCATATAAAAGGCTAATTTATATACCAGAGGTGTGTTTTGAAGATCTGCCAATCTAGACTGTTTGTGGGTAATCATTTTAAAAGTGCAGAAAACGCCCTCTTCTTCAACCACATTATACTAAAAGGAAATATATGAATAATGCATCGTCACATGTATAAAGAGTATAAGCATACAAAAAGCAAAGTAAAAACATTTGGCTTCTTGAGCCTTGTTTTTTTTTATTTGCAATTCATTAGACTGAGGCACTTCCTGAGTTTAAGGAAGTCTTTAGGGTGAATGTGCGGTGTTCAAAACGAAAGACTGAACCATCAATACTGTATAAAAAATATGTGACAAAGAAACAACTGTGAAGGAAGGGAAATGGCACTACCCACATCATCCGTTTGTTTTTCCTATTACTCACTGTTACACTAGGCCAAGACTGTCTATTCCTTTCTAAATCTTTCCATGTTTGGGTTCCTTTATGCGATACAACTAAATATTAATTTGCCTAGAGAATAAATTAAAATACAACAATATTTTAATTTGAGTGTCCTTTAAACATCTTAATTTTTAAGCACAAAACTATTATTCAATGAAACCCTGTTTATTCCAAAGGCCATACTTTTTTTAGGAATGGCATCCCTCCCAGACCTATGGTGTCTTAAAAATTTTAAATACAGGCCATTCAAAGTCAAACAGCAAACCAAAGAAGAGTCTCCACCTCATATATTTCAACCACAGCCTTGCATTGAGCTCAATAAAGAGTAACAGTTGCCAAAACATCTAATCTTAATAACCCACATACGACAAAAGCTGTTCTTATGGAGAAAACTAGAAACTGCCTATAGATGCAGGATATTTACATTTACATTTATATTAATAGATTTCTTAAGAAAACAAACAGATATTCCTTTATGTTCTCCTCATTTTCTCCAGTGATACAGATGGACATTTGAAAAACAGTCGGTGTCAAAAGGCATTAAAGAGGATAACGTTTAGAGCTAAGATTCAGACTCTGCTTCTAACCTGAAATTATTAAAGTCACCCTGGAAAAAGCCTTCGTGTGCATAGGGAAGATATTTAAACCATGAGTACAGAATTACAGTACAATAGAAAAAATAGAAAGTTCCTCTATTTCAGGAGGTGTTCATTTTAGCATGATTGGGCTAAGCATCCATTAATAACAGCACCATTACCATGTAATGCAGAAGACATCTGTTGATCCATCAGGGTCATCTGAGAAGTCCTGCTTTGCCTCAGTGCAGAGGAGGTGGAGTCCTTGGACAGCCCGTCTATAGTAGCAGAAGATGGTAATGGTTCCCTCAGTTGGGCCTCACTCTCCTGTGTCCGAATGTCTGAATGGGCTGTAGAGTTCACACCTGTACAGGCACCACTGACATTCGATGACTGACCAGCATCTGTACCAGAACAATAAGAAGAGCAGAACCTAAACAATTCAAGTAGATCTATTAAAGTGAACAGATATTTCATTGTAATGGGTCGTGTCACTTCTTTCCATTAATTGTGGATAAAATGTTCAGGAAAAGAAAAACTGAAGTCTCTTAACAATCCCACAAGACAATGAGAAACCTTTTTGTGTGGAGAAAACCAAACACTGCCTTCCAACAGAAGAACCTCACCCTGACTGTCAAATATGGTGGTGGGTTTCCCATGTTTAGGGGCTGCAGAAACCAGACAGTTTGCCATCATTGATGGAGCCATGAATTCAGTGTTGTATCAGCACATTTTTAATAGAATGTCAGGCCATCCATGTCGTCTGAAGCTGAACCATAATGTAGCCAGACGATGATCGTAAACCTACAAGTGGATCTATGAAAGAAATGTTATGGCAGGACCTGGAGCAAGCTGTTCATGCAAAGAAACCATCAAATATCACCAACTTGAAGTGGCCCTACAATGGAAAAGGGGGGCCGAAATTCACTTAATCAGCTATGTGTACATATTGTCAAAAGCCAAAGTGAGAGACTTATAAACAGTTACAGGAAACATCTAGATGAAGTCATTGCTGCTCAAGGAGATGGCACCAGTTACTGAACATAAGGGTTCACAAACGTATGCATATGAGGCATTATTTAAGATAACACGATTTCATGAATTTAATGTAGACAACAAAAGGAGTACCTGTTTTTCCAGTAAAAAAAACAGATAACTGGGTCATTGATAATGTCCATATAAAGTTCAGAAGAAGCAAATCAGTATAGCATGCTTGCCTGCATACTAAAACGAATATTTTGCTGCTAACCTTGATTTACTGTGATAGGTTAGAACATATGCCCACAAAAGAAGAGATTATACTATACAGAAAACTAAACAAGGCTTGACTTTTACTCCGGGGATTATTTTAAGAAAGACATTTGATGGTTTCACTGAAATGGCAAAAGATCATTACCTTTTCACAACTGTAATACTTTTTTTTTTTTGAGAGGGGAAAACTGAGACTGGTATATCAGACAATGAAAGAAACAGGTTCTAGCCACCTGAAAGCTGGGTATACAGGCTTCTTGACCTGTTATTAATAGCAGGCACATCAATGCAAAGAAAATCACCCTGTTTCCTCCTTTCATTATATGCTAGTTCTTTATTTCACTACATAGACCAAAACACTGCTTGGCCAGATGTTAAGAAAAAGGTTGAAATCTGGAAGATGACTGGTTTTGTGTCAGGATTCTATAGAAGTTTCCCAAGGTATAATTTAAACATTTTTACTTGACTTTTCTATAAAACAGATTAGAAAGTGCAAATAAAACTTCACAGACAGTCAAGAGCATTTGGTAGAGCAAATGGTTAACCACTTATGAACCACCATAATATATGAGGTTAAGTTTATGCATTCTACTTCTGTTTGCCTTCACCCTCATATCAGAAGCATAGAAGAATAGGATAGTAAAGACTTTATAATACATCCATCCATTTTCCAACTATTTCTTCCAATTCAGGGTCACAGGGAAGCCAGGGCCTATTCCAGCAAGCAATAGGTGGAATGTGGGGTACACCCTGGATGAGTCAATTGCAGGGCAGATATACAGACACTTACACAGTCACACCCAGGGCCAATTTTAAAATAATCCATTTAACCCAACCAGTACATTTTTGGACTATGGGAGGGAACTGGACCATCTGGAGAAAACCCCCTACAAACATGGGGAGAATTTACAAACTCCACACAGACTGCGCCCCAGGTCTGGAATTAAACCCAGGGCTCCACCACTGCAAGCCAGCAATGTGAACACACTAGCTACACTAGCTTAAGCACATACAATTAAACACAAATGCTGCCCCATTATAATATGGTAAACTCTATTAAATTGTATCGCTTTTTCATAGTTTTGAAGTTGGCTTTTGTTGTTTAAAATGTGGGTAATAATTCACGTTTTGTGGTACAGAATTTTCACAGAAAGAATATTCATAAAAAGATGTATGCAGTACATATATATCTAACTTGATATGACTACGTCTGTTGTTTACACTTTGTGGTGCAGTAGTGCACAGTGGTTTGATCTGGTTTATAGAGAAGAGGCTACCACATAGCGTGTCATCAAGCACTTTTTACATTTACAATGTGACCAAACTCTTAATCAGCTATGGGTACATACTGTCAAGCTTTTAATGAGAAGGTGTGCATCCGAAGACGAATTGGCAATTTTCAGCCAAGCAGTGAAACTGCTACTGCAGAGCTTTTCACATCAGCGAAATAAGTTAATTAAGTTATTAAACCTGAAGGTTGGATAGGTGTATTTTGCACAAGAAAATCTGTCCCACTTTCTCTCAAAATTAAGAATTGCTATAATATACTTTACTGTAGCTGGCCAAAGTAAATGATCAGTTTTTCTCTGTCTCTGTTGGCATTTCGCTCATGGTTGTTCACTGACTCAGGCAATGGCAAGGTCTTCTGCCGAGGGCAAATTCTACACTGTCTCAATTTCAAGGAGGGTAATGTCACTTCTTTTACCCTGTTGGACATGATTCAGAATTTTTGTTCTGAATAGTGTTAACACCTGGTACCTGCTCTTCTGTTCATCTTGCATTTACTTCTGTGGATAAAGGTTTAACAAATTATGTAACGAAGGCTTAAGGTAAATGTTCTATGCAAAAAGTGTGCTGTGTTTTGTCATTTTTAGCCCATTAATTACAGACTTATGCAATTAGCTGAGGAACTGCTAGTGCACAGGTGAATGTATTTAATCTCATTGATTACATAACGACCAGGAATATTTCACAATCTGCTGAGACTTCAGAAAACATGGGGGGGATTACAGGATGCCGAAAGTTCAAAGACCTCTCCGTCTGTAAGGAGATCTTAACCCCTGTTTATCAGTTCATACATTTTGTACCTTTTCTGCATTCTCTTATTTACCTGAGCTTGTTGCTAGCTCAAAGTCATTAGGAAATGCAATTCTAACCTTGTTTAAGATTAAATTAATATTTTCCTAATATAACAGTACTGAAGCGATGTACATATTTCCTATTTTCCACTGCCTTGTTTTCTATATGAACATAAATGATGTACAACACAAAGAAAATTACACTTCATGTAAGATTTATGAATCAATATCACAAGCTCCCCACCAGCAAAACATCTAAGCATTTAGTCCTAGCTTCTGGTATGTAAAAGACATGAGGTAATTGTTGGTCATTTTCCAAAATACTGCTGCATTTTTCAGGGTCAGAGATAACTTAGACCTGTCAGATCTTATCAAGCTTTACTTTTTAAAAGAAACAACAACATTAACTCCCTTGTACTCCCGAGACAGGGACACGAACAGGACTTGGTAAAAAATAGAACAGTGGAAACAAGATTACAGAATACTGTATAATGTCTAAATTATCACGGATTCATAGCCTTTTCTTAATCATCAAACACTTTTTTATTTAAGGAACCAACTCCTTTGCAATTTGCTTTTTATTTTAACACATCTTAAATTAATTCTGGCATTAATAACTGACTTTCACAAGGAACAAAGCCAGTAATAAAAATCCAAACAAATAAAGGTGGAAGTTTAACATCAATGATTCATAATTAAATCACATCTTAAAAAAATCAAACTACTACATAAAGCATCAGGTGAAGAGAAAGCAACTGTCTGGAAAAGTAATATCTAAAATAGAAATCCATTTGAAAGTTTCATTTCAAACCAAACTGACCTTATAAATATAATCTGCAGCATGAAAGCAACAGTAGCAGTCAGGATTAAAAACAGTGGCAGACGTGACTACTTTTTGCACTACAATGATGCAAAATATCTTTTTTTAGTTATATTGACTTAAGTCATTAATGCTGATCATACTTTGATTTTGTTTCTGCTACTGCATTGTAAAATCCTTTACAGTGCAATGTAAGGGGGCAGATTGAGGCCATATTGTTGTGAGCAGAAAAAGGAAATATAATTCAGATTCTTGACTCTGTTATGTGGTTCTGATCAACTCCAGCTCTATCCTGTGGAATCCAAAAAAGTAAATCAAATTCCACAATTGGAAGGGTTGACATGAAAATAAGATTGGTCTCTAATGTTAGTGCAAAGCAGCATGTGGCATGCAGAAAATGTTCAGACTAACAAACTCCCATGGAGGAAATTAGTCTGCAGACTGCTTTGGACACTCTATGGTTTAATCTTGGTAGAACTATTTCTGTCTGATTCACTCAAATGCTTTCTGCTCCTTATATTATTTAATTTTATCATTTTTACAACTTTCCTTTTAATAATGCATTAAAGCTAAGTAATACTTAACTTTATTTACAAGAGAATGATTGCACTTTTCAAAAACAGTGCAGAACCCTTTTAGTGTTTTCAGGTGATAAACATACTGTAACATTATTATCCCTTGTAACACACTGTGAATAAGAATTCCCTTTATTTCTTTAGTTAAACTTTCAGGTTTAACAACCATTTCATCAATCATTTCATCAGAAAGTAAACACCCATAATGGGACTTGTTAAAAAAAATAGGAAAAATTGACAGTATGATGATAGAAGTTGCAAAATGATCTTGAACAATTATCTCTGAGCAAGTTGTAACTTTATACAAGCAGCTACACACTCTGCTGAGGCAAAAGATGCACTGAAAGAATTACATATATGTATATAAAATGCATTAGAGGTATAACAAAGATTCCACACTGGAAATTAAGGTTGTATAGTCTAGACACCTAAATTATAGTATGGATTTAAAAGCTGCCCATGGTTTACTGTATACTGCAATCCAAGTATGATTTAGTCAAATTTTACAATACCAATTAACAATAAAATTCTTACATACCTGTAATGGCACTTGCAGAATCTGGACAGAGCTTAAAGATCTCCATGGTTCTGAGCTCCTCTGTGCTTGAATATTTCATGACGGAGTTTATGGATGATAAGGTGTTCATTAGCTGGGAGTTGAGAGAACCAATCTGGGAATGAGGCTGGCCAAAGGCATCTGCAAGTTCACTGTAGTTCTCAGCCAGAAGCATCTGCTGTTCTTGCAGAAGCTTTTGTACTTGTTCAATATAATGGTCCAAACCAGCAGCTGTTCCTAGCTGGGACTGCTGAATTTGCCCTGCTTCTGATATGCTCTCATCCCCTACTCCAATGCTTCTGGTTTTGGCAGAATCTGTTATTTGATGAGAAGGACCACAAGAAATGGTTCTTGTTTTCAAACCCACTAAAAAGTTCTCATGTATGCCGGCCTGCCCAACACCACAGTCTTTGGTCTTCACAACCGAAGGCTTTTCCAGTTCAGATTCGCTTCTCACTGTGGTACCAACTCCCACAGAGCGCGTCTTGACAGTCATCTGCACTTCTTTGACCCTACCATCACCCACGGCAACCGTTCTAGTTTCAGTCGGTACTGTATTAGTTTGTTTATCTTGAGTTTTCAATGTGGTGTTCGTGCAGGTATCCATAAAAACTGCTGTTTCTGTGTTGGTAGATGTGCTTACGGTATCTACTGCTGTATTTGTGTACTGAGAAGTAGTATGACGTACAGCCATAATACCCGACTCCACCATATTGACAAAATCTGTATTTGTGCCAAAAGACACCAAGTCTTTCTCAGGACAAACTGTCACGTTCACTGAACATTCTCCACATCCAACCGATCTAAACTTCTTAGCCATTTCAAGTCGAGTTTTATAAAGGTCTAAATTACCCACAATTTCTTCCGTGTTAACTCCTGTTTCATAAACACTCAATTCTACCCCCACATTCTTGCTACACATCTCAACACACCTGCCAGTACACTTATCTTGGGTTTGAACCCTTTCCTGGACAGTCCAACGGTTCATAGGCAATTCTGGACCTACAGCAACATGTCGTAGTTCCGGGCTACAGGAAACTCCAGTTGCAGATGCCTGAGAATCTTGCCCTGTGCAGGCATCAGCAACATCCACATGATTTCCCACAGCCTGGCTTTGCATCTGTACCTTTGCCTCCACTGAGGTGCTGTAGACTGCTGGCCTTGCCATTGACCCCTTATCGGCTTTCTTTCTTGATCCTGCTGCCTGAAGCTCTAGCTTCAATTTGCCCATTTCCATTTCATGAGTTGTTTCCTTCAACTGCACTTCTAGTCTGTAGATTTTGTCCTTGAGAGCGTCAATGGCCTGATGTTGCATTTCTATTTCCGTTTCTGCCTCTGTTGACACACCTAGCAAAGCTTCCGTTACACCAACCCCTGTGCTTCTCGTCTCCACCTCCGTCTCCACAGCTACATCCCTGTACTGTTTGGAAGATTTGCGATAAATTACAACATCGTTCATGTTCTCATCAGCACCAACTGCAATAGATTTCTGCTCTTTTGCGTTCTGCTTCTGTTCTGCCTTTTGGGTTAAGTTAAACTGTGTGTCATAATTATTGTCCTGTATTTTCCTCTCCAATGCTTGCATTTCAGCTGTCAACTGCCTGAACTCCTCTATTCTTTGGGAGCTATGCTCCATGTTCTCGAGTTCATCCTCAGAATTTATGTGCAGCTCTGATCCCTTTTTCAACTGGGAGAGCTGATCAAACTGCTGCGCATTGCCTGCACTATAAGATCGTTTTCGGAAGCCATGGCCTATGCTTTGACTGGTGGATTTTTGGTTATTGATTTGCGCGGCCAGCTGCCTCTTCTCCTCCTGTAGCACAGAGATCTTGACTTGCAGAACTGGGATAGTCTTCACTTGCTCTTCCAGCTCTTTCAGCCTCTTTAAGGCTACCACCATTTGCTCTCGAATTTGTTGCAAGTGCATGGGGCTGATGTTGGTGACAGGAGTGGTCATTCCTGAACTCATGGGACTGTGGCGGATGGAGCTGCCCATGGAGGAGGTGAAGTAGGGATTATACTCTCCATTGGCTTGGTGGCCATTGTGCACGAGCTGGTGAGAGTTAGGAGAGATCTGATTTTGTCCGCTAGATCCCGTGAAAGAGGAGAGAGAACTGGTTGATCCCATCCCACCAAAACTGGCAAGTCTTGGCCGGCGGGCCTCACTGGATGGGGGCTGCATGAGCAGCCTCTCCTGCTCCAGCCGTCTTCGTGTTTCCATGAGGGTTTTCTCCACATGCAAGTTGTGCCTGGGCAACCTGGGGGAAGGCGGTGGCAGCAGCTTGCCCTCAGGGACACTCAGGAATGCTGGGGAGGCCTCATGTAGCACAGCTGTCCTCACTTGGGGAGAGTTTGGTTGGTTTCTTGTAGGAAGCAAGGGGGACTGTTTACATTCATCGCTGTTGGAAGACGACAGCGACTCGGTGGATGTCCACCCACTGGTCTGTCCGCCACCACTCCGGGGTGTTGCCACAGGCTTTGCCACTTTGGGTTTCCTCTGGATGTTTAGTTTCTTTAAGGTGTTCCCCCTCTCAATGTCATCCACATACTTCAGAAAATCCAGGTCTAACTGATAACCATAAGGGGTCTCCAAATAGTAGGGGGCCAATGAGTCCTTGTCATCGTCTGCATTTAGACCTCCCTCTCCTTTTTCTGTGGAAAAAAAAAATAGATATCTCAGAATACTGTAAATCCCGATTTCTCATTTAGGTTTGAACGAATGTACAGAAATTTGTTGAATGAAAGATCTATTAAAAATTTAACCCTGAAACCTAGTTATTAAAAAGTATTTCAAAAACTACACATTTAATGCTTTTATATGGATAGATGATCTGAGTGCTCTTTAGGAGACATCTAATTGAAATTGAACAAATTAATTGCATTGAAACTCAAAAGGTTAACATCCACATTTAAGATTCTACTGTCAAACTACACAAACATCTTGAATGTAGCTGCAGGAATGAGTCAGTACTTTAACAAAAAAAACTGTTATACCCGGTATCTTCCAATTTTCCATAATTAAATGCCACCCCATCCATCTGAATTTGCTCTGTTTATAGTTATGAACTTCAGAATACTGCTGATTATTTAACCTTTAAATATGTGGAAAGAAGAAACCATGTTATACCTACTAATGAGCGTAGGAAAAGAGTGTACACTGATCTTCTCTTTAGTCACTTTCCACAACAAAATTATTTATTTTTTATTGAATACTGTGCTGAGATCTCAATATTTATATTACCATAAATGGTGTCCAATTGATACAGTAACTACCTAAAATAATTTTTGCCTCCTAAATAGTGTTGCCACATCTGATGTTGCAGTAAAGCATGGCTGTAGTGAAATATGCTCAATATAATTTGCTGCTACATGTACAAACGTGAATAAGGAATCCCCTCATAGAGCTGTTTCTTTTCAACATCTAGGCTAACATTACTATCCGAAAACGAGGTTATTTATACAGCTGGGCATCCTTTTTTGAATTTCAGATGGAAAGTGGAAAAAAAACAACTGTTCCAGTTGCTGAATTACACAAACCAACTTCATACTGTACAGTAAGTTTGCTTCCAATAAATATGTGCAGTTATGAACCATTAAACTAAAAAAAAGACTCGCTTAACCAAATGTTAAAAACAATATTCTTAGCTTCTTTGGAGAAAACAAGAGAAACTGTTATAGAACACAAGGCAATAATCCTGTGCACAGTGCAGAGCTCTGTGCTGAATGATTCCTTTGGGAGGGGGGGGGAGGATTTGAGACAGTGGGGTAAACAATTTTTTTTCCTTTCCTAGACCATTATATAAACACAGCATTGTGAAGTATAAATTAATTATCAGGACCGAACCTCTTTCACATTTATTTATACAAACACACATTTTAGATACATTTTAATGATTGGTAAACCCATAAGAGGTGTCAGAAGCTCATGCTGAAAGCACTATACAGTCAGACCTGCTGATATCACACTCCAAATTCCTCATCTACTAAAGAACTTTCCTGTCCAACACTGGAAAACAAACAAGCTGTACCTAAAACTTTCCAAACCCTTAAAAAACAGGAAATCTGAACTATTAGGCAGCAAAGCTTAGAACTCTCATCTCTGCTAAGCTACAAACGTTCCTCAACAAGGGGAAAAAAACCATGCAATCTCAATGTATTTTAATATACTTTTCAGCAAAAGACTAATGACAGAAAATATCACTCATTGATCCTTCCTTACCTCTCTGCTTAGCCCACTGGCCTTCAGCGTCTATTCATCGAAACCCTGGATCATCTAATGGAAGCAAGCTGTGAGCTAGAACTCTGCCTGCTCTCTCTCTCTCTCATTCTTCACTCCATAAGGGGAAAAATTCCACTATTAGTGTAAACTTAGCCAAGCCCAGCTCTGCCTGCCATAGGCCGCCTGCTTCCTCCAATGAAACAACCCTTACTTTCCTTTCCTTCTACCCCAACAGAAAACCATCTAAAGTTACGGTACCTTTTTCAATTTAGTTAAATCTTCCTTTCAAAAGGTGCATTGTCCTATTCAAAGGAAAATAGCTTCTTGCAAATAAATATTTTGTATTTCATAACTCAAGGTCCATATGCAAAAAATATTATACTACTGACAGAAATATACAGCAGTTATCCAAAATAAATTGTAAAGTTTCAATATATATTGCTAGACCCTTTCTTGAAAACATTCTTATGTTTATTGTCCACATTCTCCCCCCGTTTCAACACTTAAAATACAACGCACTTCAATATTGTAATCAAATATCTGACAGTCCACCATTTTAGAACTATTTCTAAAACATTGTAAAGAAAAAGGCTTTCATGGTTAAACGTTTTAAAATGCAAAATGGAGATAAGTCTAATCTCAACACTGAGCTTTGTTGCCTATTCATACCTTCTCCAACAGCTGTATTTTCATCATAACAAGCAAACATTTGTTTTACATGATGACTCGCATGATGTTCCATAAAGGGAATACACCACAGATGTCATCCAGTACGTCAGTGTTTTCTGGTACCAGGCAGCACTGCTGTGAAAATCTCAATTCAATCGGGACATCTGAACTATGAGTTCAGTCTTGGTAAAGAGGAAGGCTAGAATTTCATGCCCCAGCACCATCAATCAGAGTATAAGTTAAGCTTATGCAAGGATAAATAAACATGCATTATCGGATGTCCTAGTACAAGGCTACTGAAGGCACAGGCAGTTATTTCAGGAGGCATCAAAAACACAGTTCACCTATTACTGTTTATAGTAGCTTCTTTACTGTAGATATGACAATATACCTGCTCAAACGTATTCAAATATGGTAAAACTTGTAATTATCTTTTTGTTACTATAAAGGAACAAATAAAAATATTTTGGAAAAATTGGGGAGATAAGGGGGGGGGGGGTTGGGGGGACATTAGATCTTAAAAGCGTTAGTATATAGCTAACGCACAAAGGTTTTAGTTGAAAGGTTTAATTGAACAGAATTGATCATAACTGAAATCTGAATCATTTACTGAACACCAAAAGATTTTCAAAAGAATGACCTGCAGGCAAGATCAAAGCCATAAAAATATACGGTAGATGTAAATGTTTAAAATAGCCAATGACATTTGTAACAACTCGACATGCTTTAGGAAGAGCTCTTGAAATACAGGGACCTAGTTTTAAAAGTCACACATGCTGTGCTTGTTGTTGTTTAAGGCATCATTCCCCCCCCCGCCCACAAACTGCTTCTCAGCAGTAAAGTCCTGTCTAGCTGGCACATTATAAACCACACCTATGATAGCCATGATGTGTGTTTGTGTACCCTTGAAGACACTAAGTAAAGATCAACATTTACCCAGGCTGGGTCATTACACAGAGCAGAAGGTTCAATGTCCCTTTGCTTTTTATAAATCTGAAAAAAAGTTGGTTCTTTTTAAAAAAAAGTCTGGATTTAAGGATCAGTCTATTTGTATTAGTTATGCGTGCCTCTAGAGTTACATATAGGCCCACAGAAGTTAGGCACACGTGATAAACACACAAGTGCTCAATCAAACAAGAATTCACAGAGCTTTATTTTTTTTTCTAAAATATCTAGCAAATAACATTGGTAGAAACTACCACTGATGTTGATGTCAGGTCTACAAGAAACAGAAGGCAAGAGGAATTTATTGAACAACTTTGGTACTGAAAAAATATTTTTAATTTTATTCATAGTCAAAAAATAAAACTACCAGTATACATCACATGTTTATATTTGAAAACAATGTACTGTATCATTACAATAATTATGGTGGCAAGGTTATTTCAGCAGTATGGTTCTTGAGGTATGGCCACTTTTCTGTTTTCTTTCTAACTCACCAGAGCCGAGTTTATTGTTATCAGGGGCAAAGGGATTGGGATGTTGCTTTGGTTAAAATGCGGCCACCTTCTTTATCCGATGAAACATAATGACTGAGCCGTGTAAACAACCTAAAATAGAATTCCGCAGACAGTCTAGTCTCAGGCATTCCTCCCCGGAGCTTTTTGAGGACCTGTAGTAAGGAAAGCATGCCTATAAACGTACTTTTTTCATGTAGCTCTACTGTAATCCCTACAAACACAAAGTAAGCATATACAGTAACTTGCCGAATTTTAGACTAGATACTGTACAAGACTGTTTCTAAAACCAATACTGTTTTATGTGTGTAAGTAACAGTTTTGTGCTTGGTTATGCTGAAACATAGAGAAGTCTTGACAGACCAGGCACAAGGCCCAAAATTACAAAGTATTACCTTTAAATTCTCACTATCAAGTATAACTTCTTACATTCCCTGTCATCCAAATTCAGTAAGACATACACAACTGCTGTCAAATTTAGGCTGTAGCAGAGATGAATTAAAAAGACATCACATCTGAAACACTGAAAATGATTATATTCATATTTGTTTAATGGATAAGGAAAATAAATTACGAAAAATATTTTTGTAGCTTATTAATGCACGCAGAATCTAAACAACACATTTGTACCTTTATCCTTGATGTCATGCCACAAATCAAATTCCACAATGATACATTGTAGCATATCTGCTTCCACTGTTAAATAACTCTGAACATGTACACGCATAGTAAAGCCACAAAATTATACTGGAAAATCTAAAACAAGAGCATACACTGTACCATCAAACGTTATGTTTTATCTGTCCCAAACATACTGAAATGAAGGAATATATTAATAGGTACAACAGATAGTCTGACAAGAAAACCTACGAAAAGAAAATGAGTTTTTAATCTCCTGAAGTCACAGCAAGAATCAATCCAATCTCAAGCTTTTAAACTGAATTCTAAACATGCACTCTAAATGAGTAAACATTTAGACGAGCTTATTTAAGAATTCTAAACAATGAGTTAAATATTAATTATGCTAGGTGTGTTAAGCAGCATTTTAAACTTGAGTTGCTATTCAATATACAAGCATAAATTAGGAATTGTATAAGTAAAACAGTTAATTTAATAAAAATGCAGAAGTTCAACTAGGCATTTTGCCAACTATATGCATAGCTCAAATATGTGAAAACTGGCCTTGGCCTTATAAAAATGTACAATGAATTCCTGGAAGAACTACATTTGGTCAAAGCACTAAGTCAAGCCACACCACAATGCTGAAGAACACAGCCTAATTACTGTCCTCTACACAACTCCCAACA